CACGCGTGGACGAAGTGAGACGACGAGAGAGCAGGCCGTCGCACGAGCCGCGTATAGAACGTTCGAGCGGCATGGGGTTGCCGGATCGTCAGCCACGAGATGGTTCCGGACGCGAAGCCCGCGCGGAACAACTCCGAGCGATTTGCGACGCGGATCGGCGCGCGGGATCCGGCTGCGCCGCTCGGGGGAAAGCGTGGATTTTTCGCGCGAGACTTTCAAGTGCCGCGAAAGCCAGGACCGGCGTCAGTCGGACTGCAGCCTTCTGGCCGATATTCGAAGGCTCGCCGCATACGTCGTCGCTTCGATTCGGCGCCCGCGCTCATTCCCACAGGCGTTTTTCGCCTGTCGTCGAGCAAACTCGTGCGCCGCGCGAGGGCCAGCTTGAAAAAGCACGAAAAAAAATAATAATGCCAACCTGCGTGCTTGTAACTGTGACTAATAAGGGCGCTCATTTGTAAACGAGGAATCGATTTCCGATGCAATTAGCGACTTGCAATCGAGCCGGTAGCCGTTGATCGATAAGCTGGCCGCGCGTCTCTCAAAACTTGAACATTTCATTGCGCACTCTCCAAAATTACAACTGTGTAAAATATACTTGATGCTCGTTGTTACGGATGAGCTTAACGCGAACGCTGTATTTTCATTTTGAACAGTGGCCAGGAAAATGTGTAACGAGAAACATGACTAGGTTAACGATCTTGGGGCTAAGTTGTTCATTAGTGAGCAAATTAATAACCCTGTATTGGACGCGCGAGCTAGAAAATCGAGGGAATAGAAAGAAGCGAGATGAAAAAAGATAAAATGCGCGTTGGTACTCCGGAGTAGGGTTAAAATACTAATGCCTACCAGGCCGGCGAAGGCAGTGCTCGAGTTGGAAAAAGTGCCAGCGCGTATTAGCTTGCGAATGGAAGTAGGTAAGAGTAGGGGGGACGAAGATTGTCAAGGGCCAAGATGATCCGAGGTCGATAGCTGCAGATGGGATTATTAAATTTGAGTGGAACGCGAAGTGGAGCGCATCGCGAATGGAGGGCGCTTACTCGATGCCTCGACTGCTACAAATATAAAAGTACGACCCTCGGCCAAGAGCTTGTCGTCGGCGTATCAGCGGCGAGCCTCGGGCCACGTCTGCTTTGGCTGCTGCTAGCTAAAAGCTCTCCCCGAGGACTCTTGAAATTTGGCCTCTCGCCCGAAACGCGTATTAAGCAGAGACTCGGCTCTCGACTCGGCTCCTTATCCGCCTGTCTCTGTTGACTCGTTAGCACCGCGCGGTGAAAAAAAAAAAAACTAACGGCGGGGAACAGAGAAAAGGAAATAAAAGGCAGGGTGTCCCGATGGGCCTCCCACGATTCGCGATGCATATCCGTGTCCTCGACCTCGATCCCCCGCATTACCGGCAAACGACAGGGCAACCTTTCCTCTTTGCGCCCCGCGCCCGGGCTCCGGCAAGCCCGTATACCTTAGCCACGCGTCGATTCTGGCGCTAGGCCCCCGCGGCAACGGCTCATTCCAGATATTCCAGATATACGCGCGCGCGCACGTACACCGAGAGACAATCTCGTCGAGGCAGTCGGTCAGGAGCGGTGCTGCCAAGGAGGTTGGGGGAGGGGGCGCCGAATTTTCCGATCGATAATATATTCTCGGCCTTGTCCCTTCCGTTCTCTTTGCCTTTTATTTATTCATCCACGCTGCGTGCTCCCTTTCCAGCTAGCATGTCGTGCACCGATCACAACCAAATGAGTTCAGCAAGTCCAACCGGCCTGAGCTGGCCTAGCGAGCCAGTAACTTCCGCCTATCGCGCCTCTCCATCGCTCGCCCTATCGACCCGGCCCCGAAATCAGCTCCAGAGAGGGCGGATTAGAATTGGCGAGCTTGGGCTTCGTATCACTGGCTGACAATCGAGAAGCCCCAGCGTCGCCTGCCTGAATGCCCGCGTGGCAAGGAATCACGCCCTGACGAAGGGCGCCAGTCAACGTCGCGGATGATCGGACGCGGTGCAAACGGCTCGAGCCTGAAATAACGCGTCTGCAATGAATGACGACCGAAAAATCGTAGATCGAGCGTCTTGAAGCGACAATACGACTGGACTGTGATATCGAAATCCAAGCTTGCGGCTTATACTTGCACGTGTACAGCTGCCGACTTAGCAGTGCATTTACACATGCGCCCGCGGCTCACTTCTATGATACTCCTCAAACCTGTCCCTCGAGCAGAGTCTAGTTAGCTGCATGTTACTTGAACGTGGCAGCTCTTTCTCTTCTATCCTCTAAACTGTCATACCCTGCAGCCACGGGGCTCGAATCGTTTCTTTAGCCGCTTTCTACGCTACTTCCACCACAGCCAACACTGCGCTCGTACTCCTCGTACTCGCTGATACAAATATATTTTCTCTCCCTATATCAAATGATCACCCATCAATACTTTCAACGTTCGGCTATTGATTTCCGATGCGATTCATATTTTTACTGAACAATTATTGCAATCCTCTCCTCCTTCTCCTTCCTCTTCTTTTCAAAACTCCATACATTTCTGTCAAAATAACCGCTTGTCACCGTTAGAAACATGGAAAACATTCGATAGACTTGATAGCATCCAGCGACAAACGTGTATATGAATATGTTGCCATCGCGTAAATTGACCGTAACGCCTATATAACAACTCGATGTTAGACTCATTTCTGTGAGTACGAGCAACATCGACAAAGCTGCGCGACAAACATGACGAGTGCGAAGCTGATCCTGAAAGAAAAAATGTTGCTCTGCAATGGTCGAAGTGCAAGAAGCTTGGCAGCGCGAGGCGGCAGTTTGTTTTCTTTTTCCTTTTTTTTTCAAGTGGCGGAACGTCGAATCGCGAGTGGATGGGAATAACTGGCAAACCGCGAGTAGGTCAAAGCTTTCGAGCGCGCAAAGTTGACGAACATCTCGTGATTTCTAGTGGGATGCAGGCGGTAGGGGCGCGGCGAGGCCGGCACTCGTCGGTGAGAGCCAAAGCAAACGGACCCGCGGTTTTCCCGCGGCGATATCCGCTCGAGCGCGGCAAACGGGGACAGGGGGAGGCGAAGGGCGAACGGCGCGAGCGAGCTGCTTGGAAATTAATTGGTGCAGCCGCGCGCCAGTGACGGAGCAAGTCCTCAGGGCGCACGGAAACAAGCCCGGGGGAGGGGGGAGCGCCCGGCGAGTAATTTGGAGCAGGCTGGATTGGTCGGCTAGCTCAGGTGATTGCAGCGATAAGGAGTTATCGAGCCGGTGCGGGCGTGAGCGCTCGGCGTGTTTACGCGCGCGGGCGCGACTGCAGCGGATCGGGCCGACGCGATGCCGAACGCGGGGAGCGAGAGCGAGCGTCGGCGCGCGCCTGTGTGCGGGAGAGAGCAAGAGTTTGCGCATTGGTAGATTTGGCGGCCGCGGCGCCATGTCTGGTGGCTGATGCCGAAACCGACGGAGAGGCGTCGAGCAATTGGCACTTGCACACGTACACAGGCGAAGACACAGCTGGCTGACTGGCTGCTCGTGGCGGACCGAGCACTGGCTCACGCGGCCGTTTCAGAGTCCCAAAGACTGCAACACGGCCGCTCGAGCTCAGCGACGTCGTTAACGATCTGCGCTCAGCGGCGTACTAGCTCGCCCGCGCCGGGAGCTCCTCGTCTCTCTGCACCCTTCCCTTCCTGCCTGGCCACCGCCAGTGCAGCAGCGCCGGGCGCAACCGACATCCAGAGAGAAAGAGAGAGCGAGAGCGTGCGAGCGAGCAGAGAGGGAGAGGGGTCGGGCTCGGGCTCTCTCTCTCTCTCTCTCTCTCTCTCTCTCTCTCTCTCTCTCTCTCTCTCTCTCTCTCTCTCTCTCTCTCTTTGTGCCACAGCTTGCTCCCTGGATGCACGACTTGAGGTGGGCGGACCGCCATCGCAAAAAGCGCTCCAAGATCAACAAACCGGTGGATAATGAGTCACTGGCTTCCGGCGTAGATCTCGGCCTATGCGTCAATCGAAATTCCCTTGACCGTTCGTTAACTCTTCCTAGCGACAAAAGCTCTGACGCTGCCGCAAGCAAAATCGTCACTGCATCAGTTCCCATCGATCATGCATGCCCGTGCACACGCTTACAAACGCTCAGCCGCTCTTACACTTGAAACAGACGGACTGGCTCGACTTAGCATCGCCGCCCAGGATTTCATTTTCTTCTTACTTGCGACTCCCCCGAGTATCCGCGATCTCGTGCAAAAATAAACAATAATTTTCTCATATCCGCACTAGTTTCCAATATTTAACAGTGACGACAATGAGCCACCCATATTCCGACTGAAAGAAAGCAGTATGATACTGATTGCAAGACTTCACTCGCGTAACGCGAGACCAAACGGAATGAAAATGGCAAATTAATGCTCGCTGTTTGCCAAACGCCCAGAGCTCGCGTTGTCAGATATTCTGAAAGTCTCGTTAGCCGAAGCTCCGCGGGGACTTTTCCGCAAGTGCACGAGAAGCGTCAATTTGAAAGAGCGATAATTAAGTAAATACAAACGCCACTCGGTTGACACGCGCAGATCTACTGCAGCAAATCAAGACCAACTTGCTAATTAGTTCCCCGATTTAGTTGATTTTTTCTTAATGTACATTGGTCTCGAATATTTGACTACAGTTAATTTATATGCGCCATGGATAATGAACATACATTACTGACTAGATATGGCTTAATAGTTGCTGGAGCGATTGCATTTTCAGTAATTGCATATAATCAATAAGAATAAAAGATTTTCTCACACCGGTCGTGGGTAGAATCGACTGTTGTGGAATTGTAGCAAGTGTGCAAAGTACTTGAAATTCTTGATGAGTCAAAATCTATGTCAAATGGTATATTTACGTTTAAGTTTCAAGAAAATGATACTTATGCTTATTTTCACGATACATATTGGAATGTACTATTTTTAATTTAACTTGACTCGTTGAGAATTTTAAGTTTCTTGCACACTTCTCACGGAATTTAGAATTATACGATCAGTAACTAAAATGCTCTAACCTTGAAATGAGGTTGGCCAATCAGCTGCTGAAGTTCTCGAAGATCACTGCGATCGATATTTCTTGAGGAGGATCTTTCGGCTCCTCTAAGAAGCTCTTCGACTTCGTAAGCCCTCTGTACTGCATCTGTCTGAGGCGCTCGACAAGGCGATGACACATGCGTTGCAATACTGTCGTAAATCTAAAAGAATCATCAGTTAGATAAAGTTGTTATACGCTCCAAAGGGCCAAAACGGATTGCACGAATTTTTTTTTGTAGTAAGTAAGTAAGTAAATAAGCAAGCAAATGACTAGGTAAGTAAAATCAACAGACTTGGATTGAATGGAATGAGGTAAGGAGAAGCAAGTCAGGTAATGGAAGACTCACCAATGTGGAGACAATTTCGAGCAAGTCACCAAGGAGTTCGGTATTTCCGAGCAGCATCAACTGGCAAAGACGCATCTTCGAATTCAAGCGATTTAAATAGGATAATCAAAGACGCCGCTCATCGCCGGCGGTGGCGCGGGCGGCAAAGCGCGTGCTCAGGTGGTCGAAAAAAATATAATCAACATTGTGAAAGAAATAGCAAAAAAGAAGATGATGATGAGGAAAAGGATAACGGGTGGTCGACGTCTCGAATACGCAAAAGTCTGTGCTTCCGTAGCAGGCATTCTCATCATTCGTTCTCTGTCTATCTGTCTGACTAATTCTGTGTCTATCTGTCTGTCCCTCTCTTTCTCCCTCTCTTTCTCTCTCTTCCGCTCTCTCTCTCTTTCTCTCTATCTCTCTCGCTCGCTCAAACGGCCATCTTGCAAACGCGTTGGTCCTTTCTCGTAGTCAACTCTTGCTACGCCAACTTCAGTTTTCCTTTCTGCTTTTGGCGCAGTGGCTCCGCTAAGCTGCTAATCTCGCAACACCCTAGCTCGCCGCAAGCTCACTATCAACTCGCAGCGCCGTAGTTTGATCGAGACTGAAATTAACTAACTTATCCACATAGTGAAGCATTCGTCTGGAGGTGATCGCCACTGCCAAACTGTAAAAGCTTACCTGCACCCTGTCGCGCTCACTCGCAAGCTCCGGCCTATCCCTCTATCGGAAAGCTGCTTGCTGTTGATCGATACTTGACTGCGCTTATCTACTTTACCGACAGCACTCTACTATTATCAACTTTCGTGCAAGTCGTTTAGCGCTTGTAAGATTCACGAGCTGTTTCGGTCCTTACCTCCAACAATGCGCGCAGTCTCTTGTCGTCGACTGCCGCCAGAACTTCCGTTCTACTTAGTCTGCCACTTTCCTGCAGCACTTCTATGTCGTCCAATGAGTCCAGAATTTCGGCAATGGCTCCTGTAATGATTAAAAAATAAGTGAGCTACCGAATGAATAATAAAGCAACGAATAAATGAATGAACGAATGAACGAACGAACGAACGAACGAATGAATGAATGAATGAACAAACGAATGAATGAATGAATGAATGAATTAATTAATTAATTAATGAGTGAATGAATGCATAAATGGATAAAGGAATAAATGGTCGGTTACTTGTTAACGATGTCAAAAAGTTGCAACGATGAAAGACGACCGAATAAGTGGATATCGAAAAATAATAAGAGCCGTGTACTAAACATTTTTGGGGGCGACCTACAGATTGATCTAGTTAGGGCGTACCTGTGCAAATGACCTCTTCGTCCGCTGCCTCATAGTAACTGTCGCCGTTCGCTTCTAAATACGGAGTGTGCCATTTCGGCGAGGACACTGCTGCTTTCACCGCCTCCTTTAATTTTCGCCTTGCATTCAATTTTTTCAATTCCTCAATGGTGTCGCCCAGATGTATCCTCGCTACACCTTTGTCACGGTCCTGTGAAAGCAAGAGCGAAGCAGAGTGGATGAGCAACAGATAACGAGCTGCTTAACATCGATGAGCAGGGAAAACAGTGACGATGACGCAGGTGACGAAGGCTGGTACGGCCGAGACGAAATCGATATTGAAATCATATCGAGACTGGCTTCGTCACCGAGTAACGCAACCAGCAAGCTTCCCCAACAGCTCAGTAACCCAGCGATTTTCCGAGCAAATGCATCAGAGTACACGGAATCCTTTTAGAGCAGCAGAGAGCTTACGTGACGTGCGCGTGAAAGATAGAGAGAGAATGTTATTTATAAAACACGCGAATGGGCTTCGCTGGACGTTGCTTGTAAAAAAGGAGCATGGAAAAGAAGCAATATATAAAAGATAAATAAATAGCGGCTCGGGTTGATCTAGCTTCTTTCCATTAACCGTTCGACTTTGTCCGCTTTCTCTCTCACAATCGATAACCCAGTTGCGCGTGCATCGCATCGATATGCGTGGGATTATCGCATACTCCCTTCCTCATTTTCTATGCGCGCACAGGCATACACTTACGCGGAGCCATTTATGGTTGAGAACTTCCTGTATGGTGATCCTGTGATTGACGTCTGTGGTCAGCATACGTTGAATCAAATCTTTTGCAGCTTCGCTTATCGGGTCCCATAGTGCCGAGTCCATCTGCAACATATCCAGCGGCGTTAATCTCAATCGCTCTTATCGATGTTCTGTGTTGCGTCGAGCCGCGTAGCCATCGAGTACCTTTACTCTTCCTCGACAGATTGACTCGCGAAGGCGCTCGCGCGAGCCAACGAATGGAAGTGTACCGGTGAGAAGAATGTGCAGAAATACACCTGCGGACCAGACGTCTCCTGGCTTTCCATACTGTCTGCGCAGTATCACTTCCGGTGCCATGAAATGCGGACATCCAATGCGCCCTAAAGAATTCAATAATAATATTTTCATTAAGCTCAATCCGATTTTTGATACGTTATCTTTTTTCTTTCTTTTCTCATTCATACTTTCAGAAACTATTTTTCAATTATATCCAATCGCCAAATGAATTATCAGTCAGCTGCCAATAAATTAATTACACTTTTCTCCAACATCTTTGGCTTCGTAATATATATTAGATAGTTAAAATGCTACGTGTATACTTTTAATGACAAATCATGCGTGTAGTTTTACAAACAAAACTAAAATGTACAAAAGCGTTCTAGTATTCAATTTTAACATACCAATATGTAATTGGTCACTAAAAATTTTTAAATTCCACAAACGTTGATACAACAATACATAGAAACATCAGTGATGCTAATGAATAATGCACAAGCGACACATTACTAGTTAACTTAAGTATGCAATTTGCGAAAAAATGTTTGTCTGATCAAATATTCAATAGTCAGGTGATAACCTAACAATAGCAAATCATCACTGATTTTTCAAAACCAGCACACTTGTCATTGAATAATAGCATTTCATATAAAAATTTAATGGATTAATTTACACTATGCGGCCAGATAATGCAAGTTACCATTACAATACACGTTTCATCATGCATAGTCGCAGCAACTTTTACTAAGTAAAAACAATAACATACATAAAAGCATTTTATTGTGAGCAGATCAATTGGCTGACAGTCATATTGCATTGAGTGCATTGTATAAGAATAGGATGCTTTATTTCCTTTAAAAATGCTGTAAAACATTTTTTTTAGCAAGCTCAATTTTGCAGATTTTGAAAGTGCTAAATAAATATTAACATCAATTGGCATATCAAGGTTTCGATTATAAAGTAAGATAAGCGTTGAGAATGCTGTTGTGTTTAGTGCTCTACACAATAACAAATGTATTATTTTATAATACTTGATAAAAAATGAACAAATACAGCAGGTTTGGGGCACACTTATTGACAAAAAACATTATAATTATGACGAAGGTAATTACTGAAAAGTTTCAACAATAAGGAAATATGCAACTGACATAAAAGTAGTAACAATATACTGCAATGGATAGCAGAAAAAAATACTGAATGGATAAGCTACATCGACAACGTAAAAAGTTATCAGATTATTGCTTTTTCGTATCAAGTTATTTTACATTTTACATGGTGTTATCATGAATTTGACGAAAATTCAAAGCTCCTCATCGCTACAAACTAAAACGTAAAATGTTTGAGGTATACCTAAAATGTGTCCGTTATAAACATAAAAATTTCAAATCAGCACATGGTAATAACGTTTATACAATTTAGTAATTATTTGTTATTGAAAAAAATATATATTTTCATAAAAATATAATGATAAATAAAGTGAACAAAAATGAGTATCCGTCGATGTATACGATAATTAATTTGTCACATTTGAAACTATTCTGCTTATTGTCATTCAATGCAAATCGATCGGAAAGAATAAAGGCTTCTACTCGCAGTTACGTCAATTCAACGTAGTCATTCGTTTGATCGTCGAAAGGCATATTGTAACTTGGCTTTACCTATACTATCAGAAATAATTATATGAAGAAAACTGCATTTATCTTGACATCCTTGCCTATCGTTGCTTTGTCCGTCATAGTAGATTTAGTAATTTTTTCACTTACGTTTATTTATACGAATACATTTATGTCGTGAAACATAAATGTGTGAAAGATCTTTCAGAGTATCTCGATATTGGTTATAAATACGTATTATCACGTGAAAATATATTGTCGATAACGGATCCCATTCGTGTAAAGATATATATAATTAATAAATAATCAGGTTGATGGACCATGAGCCAAACAGTAACTGTACGCGGTTATTCATGAAATCATGATTAATATTCTCATTCGATTAGGATTATAAAAGACATTACTAACAGGGAATATTAAAATGGATTGGTGTTGTGCAGAAGGTGTCAATTGAGCAAGCAGTTTAACAATAGCACGGCAGAATTCTTGATATGGATGTATGTGAATAATTTTTACGAGTCACATTTTCGATATTGCAAGACATAAAACGTGAACGTTATATTGAGTGAACCATATAAGCATGAATGAATATTTTGCTGAGTGGCAATATACAGGAATCCTGTAAAAATTATTAATCGAAGGTTTTCTCTCAGCTTACCCTCATTGTCGACCTTCAAGTAGACCTGTCCCTTTGGGCTCAGGTACGGCCGATACTCGGTTGTGTAACATTCTGAATTCACCAAAACGAAATTCACAAACATCATAGCTTATTTTTAATTTAAAAAAAATAATATCACGAATAATGACTTTCGTGGTCTATGTCTACGGAGAGTATCTCCAACATTTAATATGAAAAATTACATTTTTCCAAAGAGTAGTACTTCTAATGTAGTAATTTAAGAAGTGAATCGAATATCACAATATCCATGGGCATGATAGTCATATATTTATATGGCAATAAGCGAATAATCGAAATAAAAACAAAAATAAGAAAATCATATTCATTAATAATTCGCGATAGATGTCATGATAAATACCTCCGAAATAGATTTTTATTCGGTCAATGTTTCTTATGTCTTAACATTTTATCGAAATATATGGATCAGTACTTGAGGAGTTTCATGAAAAAGTACCGTATTTGAGTATATTCAAAAAGCAAAAAAACTGAGTAATTTACGGTTTGACATTCAGTGAGTAATAGAAACAATTTTGCAATTTTTAAATATTGTTATGTACTCAACTAGTTCCCTGTGTGATCGTATTTTTTCGATGCACAGAAAAACAATATCGCACAAATATAACAAAACTATAATTTCACAATTTTGTTTTGTAGTTTCAAGCAAAGTGTGTATAGCATCATTCAATTCCAAAAAATGGTACGGCGTTAGCTGTATCTTATGCGCGAATATAACATTTTACAGAGTTTAAAAAATGACTTTCTTGTAACAAAATAACCGACATTTTAACCGATCCGTTTGTAATAAGAATAACAACTTTTATATTGAGAAGATATTATCTAATTATAGTAAGCAGATCGAAGGGCTATTTTCAGACAAAATCCTTTTATAACAAGAATCACCTTACTACTAGACCTTTTCTGTAGATGAAAGTGATTCCTCTTGATACAAGAGTTTTCTTTTTGTGAAAGTATGGGAATTTTTCCGATACAAGCAAAATTCTCTTGTTACGAAAAGACTTTTTTAAGTGGAGTATTATTCTAAGTTTTCATACTTTAATTATTTATCGATACTTTATCGAGGATGAATAAATGACTGGTTTATTCATATTCCAAGTTACAAAGGGAATAATTTCATAAGAAAAAAATTTTACTCAAGAATATAATCTTTTTGATAGGAGAGACCAATTTTTGTTTAAATCTAAAAGGTTTTGGTTCTGAAATAACATTTTTCTTATTGCAAGAAAAATTTTTTTCAATGTAATAAAAACTAATTTTATGACTAGACTTATGACTAGTTTTTATGACAATTAGATCTAAAGAGCCGTGCAATTATAAGAATTTAATTAAACCAATATATGTGTGTTTTGCTTCAATTATAAATAAATTTATAATTTTTATTGTATAAATGCAAGTATAGCGATCTATACACGTAGGAAAAATTGACGTCTCGTACGAAGAAAAATTGATTTTTAATGAAATAATTTTGTTACAAAAAGGATTCTTTTTGGTTTAAGCTCCCTCTTTATATACCTATATTATATACCTATATATATACATTAAATAAATAAAACTTTCCTCACTACTTTTATCTCGAATATGTAGAATAACACGGAAAAAGGTATATGATTCGATAATTTCGTATACAATGGCATCGATTTTATTGCAGCTCGGTTAATCAAGATAATTATCTGAAAATAATTTATTCATTAACACATCACTAACCTATCAATTTAGTTAAATCACTGAAACTTAATGTTTATGAAGAATAGTGATTTTTCAAAAATTATTTTTTAATAATCAGCTTGGTCAAACGAGCTACAATCGAAGGAATTTAATCGTACAATATTAAATTTTTGAGTCATATACTGTTTTCCTCGTTATTATACATACTCGAGGTAAAACTAGGGAGGTACATTTTCCATATTTTAGTGTACTATATGTATATCTTGAGAGACCTTAATCATATTTTTAAATGGATATTTTTTCTTGGATCAAAAGAATCCTTTTGTTATGAATGGAAATTAGTTTGCAACTATAATGAACTGAAACATAAACTAAAAATATACATACCACGAGGATTCATTTTTAGTGCAATGGAAAATAAATCCGTTTATTATATAAAGAATAATTTGTATTGAAAGAATTTACTTAAAATTTTTCTTGATATAAAAGGCCAATTTTCCGCGTTTAGGTACTGCAAATCTCTATAATACTGCTGGCGAAGAGAACATTTATGACGAAGCTCGGTGGCGTTACTTTATTAACAGTAAATGCAGGTATCTAGGAATTTTCTATTATTTAGGAGATCAAAAGATGACGATTATTACATTTTTCAATAAAATATTATACCACCAGCTTCGTCCATAGAAACTATTATTACGAAGTTAAAAAAATAATTAGTATTGAAATAAAAAATAGTATACGAGGTTGTCTCATAAGTACAACGTAAAATAAAAGAACAAGTTAACATCGTACCATTTTTGTTCTTGGAGATGCAGGAGAAAGTAGAATATTACATATAGAAATTATTAACAACAGAGTTTAAAAGTAGCTAAACTAGAAAGCATTAAAATATTTTGATAAACGTACCAACACCATTAGTTTGCGTAGATGGCAACTGCACTGCCACGCCAAATCCGCGTAGTTTCACTGGAGCTGAATTCTCCTTGCCGGCAAGGAGAGCACACTGTGGTTTTAAGTCTCGATGAATTATGTCATTTTCATGACAATACCGCAAAGCTTCCAAAATTTGACGCATGTAGTGACTAAAATTTCAATGAAAGAAAAATTATTGGCTTTTTTTTAATTCAGAGTTAAAATCACGTGAATACTCTCTGTATCAGTAAAAGTGAAAAAGTGGATTTTTCATATTTGTTCAAACTTTTATAAAAAATATAAAATGATAGCGTTAATCTGGATTTCAAATCGAATTCCGTACATTGAATTAGTACAAAAATATTGAAAATTATATTATGGTTTATTAGATATTCAAAATTTCAATCACTGCAAAGCTTCGTGAACACCCAAATATATATTAATTTTTTTACGTAACGTTGTAACTCATTTCTAAAGCTCTGCAAGAAAGTAAAAATGTTATCAAATTTAAATTCATATTAACGCTATTATTTTACGTATTTTATGAAAGTTTTAAAATCATAATAAATCATATTCTCTTTTTAAATTTATTTTAGCACTTCTACAGACAAAAAGGGTGCCAAAAGTATGCCACGTGATGAGCCCTAGTTTTTTTTTAGTTTCATATGTTCTGTAGGTTAATAACATGAATAGAAAGAGTGTGTATGCAACGTGAAAATGAAACAAAACTTTTTTAAAGTAAGGCATTTTTGGACAAATCGGAAGCATTACGTAACAACACTAGAACAAAATGCTCCTAACACGGAAATAAAATGAATTGTTTAGTGAAGATCCAAATTGTACCAGTTCATAGACAGTCGTAAGCGAGAGATAAAAAAACACTTACCTTGCTACAGCTTCACTATAAACAAAACCAGCTGTAGCACGTCTTACTACTTCGAAAAATAAATCTGATCCATCCATGCTGAAACATATGAATAGAATCATTGTACATCTGTTGATTTAAAATGTCTTTCCATCGATTCCAGATAACTGATTTATCAAATATATTTCTTACTATTCAAAAACCATGTACAACATTCCTTCGGAGCTATATGTTTCTAGCAATTCCACGATGTGCGGATGCTTCAACATGTGACATATTGTCGCTTCCCGTTTCAAATCTGGAATAAATCATTTTTTATTAAAATTATGATTTTACATCAATTTTTACAAGATTAAAACAAATGTTGCACCGTTAATTGCACGCCAATTTATATAAAAAAAATTAAGAATTGTTACAGTTATATGGCTTTTATTTATGATTTTCACATAATTGCTACCCCATGTAGCGTGAGAATTCGGATGTCTATCATTATCTTATCAAACAGACAATTGAGCGCTTATTTGTATAATTTGAATAGACTCTTTGCACGAGTTCGTGATTATCAAAATACACAGATAGATCACTTAGCTGTAGCCTGCAATATTGGCTTACCCGCTGTGCTGAGCCCTGGGCTTGAGGTAAATTTTGCCACGTCAACGATTTTAACAGCAAAGGTCTGTCCGGTCTGACGGTGAATGCATTTCCGCACAACGCTGAACGGGCCCCTGAAATAGTTAAACGAACATCGGTTAATTTTGAAATTCCGTGTCAGCGTGCCAATTACTATAATACATTTTAACTAATTTATTTTCGATTTCGTGTTTTTCCTACCACTTTCATGAATATAGTATGCAGTTGATGAACTAGTTTTTTTTGCTACTTTTCAACATTTGTGGCTCGGCGAGTTTTCAATACTTCTTTATTTACATCTTAATTCATCACTCTTTGTACATTGGAAATGCGTATTGTAATTGAACCGTCTATTTACGAAACATCTCATTATCGCAAGTGACCGTTTTTCTGGGTAAATATTATGGTAATTTTCAATATAGATACGACTTAATAAAAGTTGTTTAAATAAAAACTCACTTTATCCTAAAAAATGAGTATTTCGGTTTTTTTATTTATATGATTTGACTATTTTTACATCATATTTTTAAGTGTATTTTTGTTGCTAAAAGAATCTTTTCATTTGAACCTTTATGGATACATTAGCATCATTATTCTATTTGTCTTGCTAAGAGCTTTAATTGGAGTTGCTGCGCGTCTCATTAAATAGAGGCACAGGGCTTCATCGTTAATCAAATTTACAAAATTTTATATCGACAATATTAAAAATGATCTTTACGAAAAATAGAAAAACATACTTTTTTTCTATTTGAAAAAAAATTGAAGAAGTTGAGTATTATTTCAATCTCCCTTTTGGTAACGACATAACGCAAATGTTGCTAGTTAAGATAAAATAAAGATAAGGTGAAACGACTTGCCTAAATGACAAATTGTCAATATTCGGAAGAACTACCATCGGGCCATCATTAAATCTTTATGTCTAGATAACTACAAATAAATTTCGAAACATTTCGTGTAGAAATATCTATAGAAGAAACTAATGTGCTATAGATACTGGGAGGAGACTAGAAGGCTTAAGTACTGTCTAGGCGACTTCGGCGACTACTCATGCTCCCTTAATCTTACGAGCAAGAGGCCGTGTTCATATAACTGACGTAGTGCAAGAAGCTCCGATTGGAAAGTCCTCGACAAATCGCGACTTAGTACATTCTTTTGCTGGCTAGCTTGGTCTTCTCAGTCATGCCGTGCCAACTATCTGTCACCTTAGCGAACTTGGCCTGCTACTATGCGTGACACGGTATCCTATCTCGCATCGCGCGCTCTTCCTCGAACACCACTACATCCTACGACCTATACGCGCTTGCTCGCACTCATCGCCATAATTCATCGCTTTGCCCTTTATCGAGACGCTCCCTGCACTCAACGCTATCAATCATCAATTTGTTTGAATCGCCAAAATATCCACGATTATTATCCTTAATTTTCGAAGATGAATATAATAATTTTGTAGGAAAGTAATTATTGTGCAAGCTTCGCGTAGTCGAACTCTTATTCTCGATTAACAGCATAATGGATAGCTTGTTTACACGATCCTAACAAAGTCGATGTGTCTACGCACACACATACACGCGCGCGCACGTCAATATACGCCAGCAAGCGTCATACGCAACAGTGACAATAGTAACAGCAGCAATAACAACATAGGCAGACATTGCAAGGGAAAACAGACGATAATGGGGCTGGAGGGCAGACATGACGTACACGCAGAGAGAAACATACGGTTATCCGGCAACCTTACGATAAACAAACGCAGGGCAAAGAAGGGACAATGCCAGCAATTGGCGTAGAATGGGTTTGGTTGACTCGCGACGCATCGTCGCTCATTATTACTGCCACCTTTTGAACTGCGTATATAAAACAGACCATAAGTTACCATGACCGATGGACTTGTTCTCTTTGCCAGTGGTATCACGCCCTGTACATTTTTGTCTCATTGGGCTCGAGCGACCCGACCCATCTCGCTAGCCCCCAATAGTATCGCTAGCTCGGCTAGCAGCCGACGCTTCTGTACATGCGTATGTACATGTGTGTGCGTGTATAAGTGTGGGCGGGTGTTGGTGTTTGCGTGCATTACTGACAGTCGAGACGGAACCTCGTCGAAGAAATGAGAAAAGCACTCCCTAACGAGAACCTACTGTGCACGAGAGAGAAAGAGAGAGAGAGAGAGAGAAAGGGGAGGGAGGGGGAGAGAGGTAGAGAGAGAGAGAGAGAGAGATAGTACTCAGTGTGTACGCATCTTGTCCTATGACCGATGATTGTGTGCGACAGCAGTCGCATAAGGAGTACACTTGCTTTCTAATTGACACTTACCTGCCGATAATCTCGCAAAGCTCGTAAACGTCGTCGAAGAGAACCTCGTCGTCCGCCATGCTGGGGCCGGCAGCGACAGCGGTGTGGAGAGTCGAGAGGGGACACCGCCCGGGAGACTAGCGCGCCGTTGCCGCTGTAGCTGCAGTGTCCACCTTGGCACAGCTAGCTCTCGCGCTGTTTCACAGGCCCTTTGAGTGTCATGCAACGGGAGTAGTAGTAGCAGCAACAGTAGCAACGATAACGGCAGCGACTGTGGCTGTGACAGCAGCACCAGGCGGCACGCGCGCACTCGCCAGTCAAGCTCGAGCAGCCGCTTCTACTCGCGACTTGTCGCTGCTCTTGTTTGCTTGTAGGCTAGGGCGCATGAGGCGCGCGCAGCGCCGATGCAGCGCCAGCCAGCAGCAGAAGCTGGCTTGGCGGAGTGGTGGCCACCGCCGCGACCCGCGGCGCACGGACCAAGCGAATCGAGAGGGAAAAACAGCACCAGCACCGACCGAACGAAACGAGACGGAGCTGAGCTGGCGCGGCAGCTAGCGTGCCGACTGGTTGCATAAAGCGCGGCGCCTGCTGGCCTGGCTGTTGCCGCCCTTCTGCGTCCGCAGACGTCCTTCTATGGCGCCGACTCCAGTCGCCAGCGCCGCCTGCCGCAAACGCTCGTCCAGGCCCGCCTCGTGCTCAACTTTGTCGCTCCAGATCTGTCGACGTCGTCGTCGCACTCGCCGCCCACGATAACACTTGTAGCCCGGTCGCTGCTCGCCAGCAGTCCCAGATCCCCTCACAGTGACCAATTGCCTGCAAGCACGATGATACACGCCTGCATATGACGTGCGGCACACGGTCTGCGGCAACCAGATGTTGACCTCCGCATGCGGCGGGCTCGACTCACCTGCATTATGCTTACTCAATTATTGCTTCGTGGCCTTGCACACGGACGTGCACAGGTTTTAACGTATCCGCGTATACCGCACGACACGGCGGAGTCGAGAGTCGAGACTCGGGGTGTATCAAGCTCGAGCTGCTTTATCGGGCGTGGCGTTGGCGCCTCGCTCTCTTTCTACCATCCAAGGCAGCCGATATATACCTATACGACTGACCTGCCCTTGTCTTGATCGTTGCTAGTTCAGCTCGTCAGCTCAACTCAGCTCATGCTCCATTTCTCTCAACCTGGTGTAGTTTTCTTTTCTTCTCTTTTTGCCAGTTCATTTCACCTTACAGCTACGTTAATTCTTGCAATACTTTACACGCACATCAGTTCGCTCTCACTCGTGTCATGCAAGGCACGTACACGCCCACGAATACTTTACTTTTCTTGCCGGTGCCGGGGCCGGAAGTCTCCTATAAATTAACAAACAATTCTCTCACCATAATACCCGCAATCGAAGGCCAATTTTAATCAGGATGGCAGTCAAACATTCTAAACTACTCGATCATTGATGCTTACACTACATATGCATTCATTCGTCAGCTAATTATATTATTCATAATAAATTGCATATTCATTTTCCACCTACATCTATCTTTAAATTCAGTTGAGTATACAAACCAAAATTACATTGAATCATATATGTTTGGTTTTTTTCCGTAGGAACAGCTTGTATATTTAAAAAACAGCTGAAAATGTTATGATATTTATTCGTTGTTATTATTATTGTTATTATTTTTTGAGTACTAATAATCTATACATGGTTTAAGCAAAGTGGAAAGTCATATTTATTTAAATAATTAGATTTACATTTTTTTTTATAATACCAATTGAAGATCTATCTGCATCTGTAACGAGAAAAAGATATGTATGCAAAATTACCAAATTGAAAAAAATACAAAAATTGTCTGTACAGCGAAATTAGTTTTTAACCTTTTACCGTAGTTCAGGTAATCCTTCTAGTAGGTCTTCAAAATCTTCTTCTCTTCCGAGAATTGATAATACCAACAAAACTTTGTTTCTGCTCCATGTTTTGTAGTACGAATGAATACCTACTGTAGCAAAGTACAATTCTTTAGCGAGGTATTGTAAATGTTTATGATTTATTCCATTCAATATAACTAATTTTTCGCTGCATAAAAATAAGTAAATATAAGTAATGATAATTTGCATCGTAAACAGTGAAATCAGTGTGCATAACTTAATAGTATACCCTGAATCTTCCCAATAATCTAAATATTTAACTTTCACACTGTCACTTGCAATTTTATTGTAAAGGTGCAGAAATCCCCGAGCAACCTACAATGAAACACAAAAAAAGAAAAATTGAATTTTTTTTAAATTAGAGTGTTATTGACGAAGCTTGTGTCATTGAACGTTCTTGGTACCGAAGCAATCAAATTCCCTTTACTTTTGAAAAATCCACTATTCACAATACAATAAATTGAATACTGCAGTGGTCCTTCCTCTTTTCTTTTAGGATATGAAACTTTGTGATTCTGCCTGCTTGGTGGCGCCTTTATCTTTCCTCTTAAACCAATTTTTCTGAAAATGAATATATCTTTCTCCAAAAGTGTTATTGTTGGTAAAATCTCAAAAGGACCTTTCCATGTGGCATTCAACTCAACTGTTTATAACATCGTTTGTTGACTAATTTATAACCTTTTTGTACTGCAGAAGATTTGTTCATAACTTTTTTTCGTTGGCTGCACATCAATTTCAAAATATTTCATTGCGACTTTTTTGTTTGAAAGAAAGGTCTAATTATTTTTTATTAAAAAGATTGACTATGTAATTTTAATAGCAAAAAGGAAAAAAATAAATAGGTACTATTATGTAAATATAAATACAAAAAATAACAATTATAGGAAGTGAAGTTAGGAATGATGGTATATATATATCGTAAAGTCGTAAAATGAAACAAAATTTTATACATCTTATAAGTCTATATACAATTTGCGAATCTTGCTGTAATATGACAGTAGATAAAACTAATTAAAAAATAAGAAGAATATATATAATAATTTGGCATAATTATATACGTATCATCTGATTTGATATTTTCTAACTTATCACCAGCTGAATAGGCTTAGAGTTTACTGAAAAAGACTCTAGGGAGCGTGCACGAGCAATGTTTTCTTTCGGACGATTCGGAGTATTCGGACTTTTCAGTTTTCTATCAGTGCGAAATATTTGGAGGTTAAACTAAGTAATTTAATAATTGAACTGTAAAATTGACAAACTGTAATGACATGAGCTTTTACAAAAGTTCTAATAGAAACGCTATTTTCTTAACTTCGGTAATTCCGAAACATATATCATGATCAACGATTGTTTTTAACAAAAATACGCAGAATTTATAAATTTAGGAGTATCTTACAGTGTTATTTTCAATGTGTATAATTCTAAATTTGTCAACAAGGCTGTTTACTTTGCCTAGTTCAAACCAACAAGTCATTTGTTTAGATTTATTAAATAATAACAATTGAAAATAGACAAACAATGGCGAACATTGAAGCAGGCTTAGGTAATCAATCTGGCGAGAATACCAGCTGGAGAAAACATCTTATTTCTCAACTACGCGATCGAAACAGAACTCAGACACAATGCTTCTATGATCTTATAACTTTGCGTAAGATATTATTACAGTTTATTTGCAATACTCAAGTTTTTTTCGATAAACAGAGAATATTTTACTTTTTAGTATTATTTTGTCTAATTTTTTAAAATACTCAATTTTTATTGTTTGAATAAGATTCAGTAGAGTAATTAAGTTTCTATTTTCCATAGACAATCGCTTGTTTGATAATGCTAACACTCTACGAGGAGAGAATTTGCAATTATCCATATCCAATGAAAAGTTACGTTGTGAATTGACTAGTTGTACACCTGGCACAGCTGCCAATGCAGCTCTTGAAGCAAAATTATTAGCTCAAGCTGATGAGCTGACTACATTACATAGAAGAAGAGGTGAACATACTCAACAGATTGTAGATTTGAACAATAGGTTACAAGAAATAACAAAAGAGCTCCATGCTAAAGAAGCAAGGTATTTGAAAAAATTTACTTTAAGTAAAAATAAATAATAATTCCAGATCAATGTATGTCCATAACATGCAGCATGTTTCTAATAATTGAGAACCTATTTCCTTAAGTTTGACAGAAAACACTGAAATCATTGCGGGCTTACGTTCTGAGATTTCAAGATATATATGCAAGGAAAAAGAACTTGAAAATATTAATCAAATGTTGAAGGATGAGCATCAAGCTCTACAATTGGCTTTTGCATCACTGGAAGAAAAACTGAGAAAAGCTCAAGTAATTACTTTCATTGACATAAACTATCCATTTAGTTTCAATAACTGTTCATTTTAATTAATCTAATTATTAAATAGGAAGAAAATCGGCAATTAGTTGATCGATTGATAAAGTACAAAGCAAAAGATGCTGAGAAAATGAATGAAGAGAATGACAATTTTTTAAAGTAAGTAATAAATAATATCAATAGAATTGCATGCCTATGTCATTAAAATTATTAACTTGGTATGGTTTTATTGCAATTTCTACAATTACAAGTGTAGAAATAGTATGTAGTTTTATTTGATTGTGGCCGAATTATGTTATAAATCAATTATTTTTTTAAAGAAACTGCATTTAATATAAATTAAATAGAAATATTGTTGTATTATTGCTATACACAGCCCTTATTTGGATCTTTATATAATCATAGTAGAAAAAATGCATGGCTAGTCTTCTTTCTTGATTTCTTAATTTCTGATTCAACCCACAATAATTTAAAAAATTAAGCTTACTCCTACTTGTTTTCTGTAATAACATTTATACGCCCTAACTTTTATATATACTTATCAATTCTTGGTGCTTGTAACAACTATACAAATTGCAAATAATAATATTTTTGGTGTTGCAATATTACCGAGTCCGTTATTTCTTTTGTTGAAATATTTTGTGCTACAGAAGAAATGTTCAAGAATTATTCAATTGTTATCTGTGCAAATGGCTCAACTCAAACACTTGATTGCATTTCTGCAGTGTTTGTCACTTCACTCTGCTTCACATTTTCGTTTCAGTGAGAGTTTTACCAGCCCGACAGCCTTTTTGATGCATACCATTTCTAAGTTCGGGTAAGTTCATTGAAAAGAAGCAGAAAATGCGACAAAAAGCGTAATTTTAACTCCAAATCGCTTTTGGGCTGGTAGCAAACATTAAGTGATATTTTCTTCGTATGACGACATATAATTACAACAAAGTGTTGAGTTTTATTCTAACTAATGAAGGCATACATACATTTGCTTTTTATTTATAAATAGATGCACATACCAACTTATAAGTACTAATAATTATACGTCAAAAACAGACGAAATGACGGTCAATTTTTTACTATTGCTAACTTTTTTGTGGGTATTTTTGGTACGGTATATTTTTGTTGGATTTTTATTTGATCTCTTTGTAGAGAAGCACTTTACACAGTATCTCACAAACTCAGCCATCCATAGTTTATCAGGCTGTTTTCTGTAAAACATGCATGAGTAATACATTGTTATAAACTGCTTTTAACTTTGAAGTTATTTTTTTTCATTAATGAGCGCAAGAGATCGATGACAGTTAATAATCTGAATTACTTATTTCTAGAAAAAGACAAGCGAAAATGCAAAAAGAACTGGAAGATGCTGCAAGAGATACACAATCTGCCAGTCCTGATCATATTAGTTTGAAAGAAGGAACTGTCGGTTATCCGACTTCGGTGCCTACTAAAGTCTCCATCAAATTTGTACGTTAACGTTTTGATAAAAAACTTGTTACTCTGATAATGTTATGAATAATAATCAAGTCAAGTCGCTTGTAGAAAACGTAAATTAATTCATTCATTTTTTCACTATTGGATAATTAATCTCTCCAAATCAGTAACAATTTAATTAACGAAATTCATACACTTTCGATACCTATTATATCAATTGACTTGACTTGAGTTTACGGCATGTTACTGTTTTGCAATCAAAATATAATACGATTATACAATGATCTAATCAAATAATATATTATTGCAATGCTTTATCTACGGCATTCAATGTTTGTTATCATTTCATATTGTTATAGGTCATTCTTATTGTTATAATTACGAAACTACGTTAAGTAATAACGATTAAAATAAAAGATCAATAGTTAGCTAAATTATTTATACGCGGCTAAAATTAAGAAGTTTTTAGCTGTTACGTACATAGTTTTATAGAAGAGCAATTTACAATTGTATTTAAAAGAACGGTTATTCAAGTACATTTGTTATTTTTAATATTATTGTTAATGAAAAACTGTTATTTTTGTAACTGTTCATAAGAGTATTTAATATACGTTATAACAAATAATAGCCAAACAGTTTTATTTCTACAAAGTAAATTTATATTAGCCTATTTTATTAGATATTAGCATTTAATTTGATCATATAGCGTAGTTTTATTTCATATAAAAATGAATTAGCTGCTCGATATTTCCTTTGATAAAGTAATAATGAGTTGGAAAAGAACACTTATAAATTAATGCTTACCGCTTTTTTATGTTACATTTGCTCGTGGAAAAAAAACATTCTCTTTTTATGATGCTCAATTAGTTTTTAACGATATAAATGTAAAAGTTATTAAATTTTCTTTCTTTAAATATGATATCGGTGGTTCTTTAAAATCAATATTTTGTTACTGTCTTACAAAGCCATCAATTTAATACTCAACTGAAGTTCAATTTATACTAGATTATGTCACTATTAATTGCTAAATATATCGTTAAATTTTCGAATCATAATGTTATCGTGAAGTATGTAGTAATATTGATTAAGTATTAATCAATTAATTTGAATTTTCTTCCCAATATAAATTAAGCACTTCATTGTGAAAGAATTTGCAGTTGTTGCGACCCAATTCGCTTTATTTGAAAAAATTAATCAAATATATTTCAGAAGTATGTCAGTCAAGAGCTGAATTCCATTAATGAAGTATTATGCACTTTCGTGTTCACGTGAAACAGATAAAATGGTTTTTTTCTAAAAGATCTGGTTAATGATTCGTGAGATATCTTTGATGAGCAGAAATTGAGAAAATAGTTTGCATGTAATAAAGGAAGAGCATTTACAAATGTTGTTGAATTCATTAGTGCATAAAATCATATTCAATGACTAAATGTAACCAAATGCCAACCACGTTGCAGAATGCACATGAAGGTGAAGTGAATGCCTGCAGATGGTCTCCTACCGACAAAATTTTTGCTACTGGCGGAGCCGATCGTAAAGTAAAATTATGGGACATCACTAAAGGTAATTCATTGGCTCTTAATAAACATACTATGTTACAAAGATACTAAAAGGCATGTTAACCTAATATACATAAAAATAGTTTCTCTTTAAAAATCACAAACATATTTTTATGTCAAGATGAAGTTAGTGTTTCGGAGTTAAATTCATTTACTCGTATTTTACAAGATGAATAAAAAAAGTAATAATAAAATGCTCGTCATTTCGTGTCACAGATCTTCCGAATATTTCATGATACGCTTGTCTTATTTTCATACAAAAAAATCACTGTGGCAGAGGTGTGAGTTTCGGTTATATAATAACATAAGGCTCGCATTATCCTTCGAGTATTGTGTTCATACAGATGTCTATGAAAACATTAACTGCATGCAATGCCTCGTTATTTTTACGTTTTTTGAATGTGCTTTTGTAACATGCTAAACTAACAATGGGACAATTTGCCTTTAGGTTTGTTGACTTTTCCGTCGAGTTTCTTTCTTTGTATCACGTTTCATACTTTTTTGAATACTTTTAATTTCTTGTTTACGAAGCACACATAAGTATATATAAGTCTGAACAGCGTAACAACAAATATAAGCTGATCTAAAAATGTGCTATATCTTTGTTATTTTTGTAACTATTTTATTCGAAATGTGGATACATTCATCAGATCTAATAGTAAGTTAACGAAATAGGAACATTGTCCTTAATTATTTAGTTATTATAAGTTGATTTTCTTCTCCTTGAAGCTAATATATTTTATTTATAGAGGACATTTGATAGAATTAGATGCAAAACGTCAATCAATTCTGTGAATTTACGCTGATCTATTTGAAAAATCATTATAAAATCTCAGAAATAACGATGTACGTTTATTCTATAGCGTAATTTGAATGATTTGAGATTAATACTCAAAACTGACAAAGAGAAAGAGAGTTTCTGTTCAATCATTAAACGTCATATTTTTTCCAGCCATTACTAACCAACCTATTTTTCCTATAAAATTTTTCATATGTTGCCAAAGTAAAATATTGATAAGAGTTTTAATGAATTGCATCTCTTAAAAAAATTTCTTAAAACACACCCGCGCGCGCACACGCACACAATTATATATATATATATATATATATATATATATATATATATATAATGTAATTTTGCTAATGGCTAGTTTTTGTGAAATAGTATTATAAATTGAATACGCGAATATTGACAAGAAGACAGTGAATTTGAATATGCATATAAGCATTTCAACCAAATGTTGATTTCATTTCTTATTCAAGTTTTGAGAGCAGGTAAAATTTTTAATGATTTCGCGATTAAATGAAATATACATTTGGCACTTAGTAAATTTAAAAAAATAATCACTGATGAATTTGAAATGAAAAGAGCCCTTTGAAAGCTTGTTCGATATTTTTCGTTTAATATTATTTTATCACAGATTCAAGCGAGTGTCAAAAGAGCTTGTGAATTATAGGGTATTGATAGTAAAAATATCTTTTGTGATCAGGTTGGGTTTTGTTGGCATTTCCGTAGTACACATCAGTCTCTATTAAGCACCAGCGTTTTGCGACAAATAAAACATCCGAAACATTATGATTGCAGGAACGTCGGAGTGCAAAGGAATGCTTGTGGGCAGCAACGCCGGGGTGATGTCAGTGGATTTCGACTCAACAGGCAATTTGATACTAGGAGCATCCAATGACTTCGCCACTCGCGTCTGGACCGTCGGCGACCTGCGATTAAGGGTGAGTGGGAGATTTCGCTTGTTATTTTCAAAAAGTTTATTGGACAGAGTTGGAGAAAAAGAAACGAGAAATTCAAACAAACAAAGGAAAGCAGCAAACGAGTAATTGTAGATGGATGAAAGCGAGGATAAAAAGAGTTAAAGTAGACTTTCGCCTTCAGTTCAGTTTCAATAACGGGGTTATCATGGATAGTCGACTGTTGGGCAAATATTGAGTTTACGTGTCTACGAGGGCGATTGAGCTTTCGAGGTGGCTGCAGACGGCACGGCGGTCGGTCGGCCGGCCGGTTGGCTGGCTGGCTGGCTGGCTGGCTGGCTGGCTGGCTGGGAGGCCGCAAGCGAGCGTGCCAAATTTGAAAAATTGAATGCGACGGAGCCTTTACGAAACGCGCCTGGATCAAGAGCGCGGCGCGGAGCGAGGAGGCTGCACGGCTCGATTGTTCGCCCGCCGAGCGGAGCGGATCTGACGGATGGCCGACCGCGGGGCAGCTGAAAAATAGGATGCCCCAGCTGGTCAGAGGAGGAGGCAAATGGCCGCCTCGGAAGAGCTCGCGGTGCTCGTGTAGCTGCTTGCTCGTTCGCGTCGCGAGATCAGCCGCGCAGCTCGGCTCCGTCCCGAGAAGCTACTCGCCCGACCTCGCGCGCTGTCCCCTCGCCCTCGCGCGCGCACGCCGCCGCTCTCGGATAGCCAATCTCTGGCCGCTGCAGCCGAGCCTGCCCCTACCCTTCTCCGGCCGAGCCCACGACCGCGTCTATATTTTTCAATGCGCGCCCCAAAGCCATTACGCGCGATGACACGTAACGATCAATCCCGTGCCGCGCGTTATCAAAGCGGAACCACGGCACGCGGCGCACTCGATCACGGTGTGCGCGCGGGAGGGGGGGGGGCGCTATTTCGGCTCGCTTGATACACTTCGAGGAGCAGTCGTTGAATAAAAACAGGCTCGGCTCCGCGATGCCCTGTACGCGTGATCGAGCGTGCGGCGGTCTTTTAGTACCGCGGCCCGTAAAACACGCTGTAAGGCGTCGCCGCGCTCCCTCGCTCCGGTCTGAACCTCGCTCTGATTTAATTCCCGAGTGGTGTCGGCGCGCCTTTTCCCGCGGACAGACCTCGCGCAGTACAGCAGCTCCCGCAGCTCGAATGTCTATTGACTTAGCAAAATACACTTGAGTCGCCTTCAAACACTCGAATAATTCTTCTGGAGGCCTTCCAATCTACTTTCCATCTACTTACTCGGCCCTGATTTCGCGATGAATCTTTCGAATATTTCGGTTTTCCATTTGTCGCTCTGCAAATCTGATTTAGATGGCTGTCGCGGCCTCGATTTTGCCCGGTGCGCGCTTTCACCGCGGCTGGTCCGTTGAAAGGAAAAGCTTCGTAATAAGAATTTGGTGGCATTGGCGAGGCAAAGCAAACAGCCCGGCCTCGCAGTGGCTTGAAAGCCATGGCACTAGCTGCGGCCTCGGTAACTGTGCGCAGTGACCAGTCTGGCCAGTGCACGGGGATTCGTCACCGTGTATACTCTGGCAGCGAAACATGATTACTTTGAAAGACGCTAGTCTTCTTGTTTCTTGATGTTTCTTGCGAGCAAGGACTTGGTCAGAGCATGGGTTGGGAAGAAGGCGGATGGAAAAACATATCCCGCTGACTGAGGCGGCTAAAGCGACACGCTAAAAGCTCGAGATTGCTGTAGGGAAGACATGAAAAATAGTCGAATGAAACATCTTTTAACCGTGGATTCGGGGGACTCTGATTAAGCATTATGATTGTCTTGTGCCGGCGAATCAAACGTACGAACAAGAACACGAGTGATAGAAAAAAAAGAAGCAGATTTCAAGAGTGGATTAGGGAACATAGCGTAAACGCTGAAATCAGAGCGAGCACTTTCGTAGAGAGATATTGCATTCGTAGAAAGACGCCAGGCGCGTTAATGTCTTGGATTGTAGCCAAAAACGAAGGAGCGCCCGACTAACGAAATTGGCACGCCTTTACTTGCCCGAGACTTTCTCGCTAAGCGGAATAAGGAACAACCTGTAGATATCAGTTCGATGTATGTCAAAGTAAGCGTCTCGCTTGTCCCTGCTTTCGCTCAGGCGGCTGGCGAGTGGTCCATCAGGATCGAGTTTTTTATTTTCCGTATTTTAACGCTTAACGTTGCACCTTAGTTCCCTTATCGGCGCATACGAGGAAAGGTGTTATGCGAAAAAGCCTTGTTTACGAAACTAACGATACAAAGGACTTGTTGAACTTGTTCAGTTAGGGGGCTAGAGACAAGCAGCGAAGGTGCAATTCCGAGGCTAGAGCACTCGAAAAATATGAAAGACCAAAGCGTTCGCTTATTACGTTTTGTAGGACGCGAGCTTGCGTGTTAACTCTGCAAAATAATTGAGTAACACATACTGTTTAATCGAAACCGACTGTTCAGGCCTCGGCGTGCATTTCCCAATTTTCACCTCAACATCAGTTTTTTGTGTGGCTGGCTTCTTTTTTGCTCAAATCCATGGTCAACAATTGTGACGTCATGGCTTTACAAACAGTAAAAGTAAATACTTGGCCTCGTCTCTTATCTCGCCACAACAACGACTGGTCGAGTCTTGCTTCTTGTTAACTTACAACATGATTGTTGATGATACTTGTTTTATATTTTGGATTACAAGTAGCAACTGGAATCAAATATTCTTTGACATCACAAATTCACCCAGAACTTATCTCAGAACTCACCAGAGGGCGACTCTTTATCGGCTATCTTGTTCCATTTCCTAAAATGTGACATACAGGAGAGAGCGCTCTGAACAAAGGTATAGTCAGTGCACCAGATCATTCCGGCCATTAATTTGAGCAGCTCAACCAACTTCAGATCTCTCTGAAGCCTTCCAACCTTCTATCAGGGATAGATGTTCACTTTCAACTACCAGTGCCTGCTGCCAAACTAAGAGACTTTTCAGAGGATTTTCCAGTGGCCTTTCCAGAGAATTTTCCAGTGGCTTTTCCTGAGACTTCTCTAGTGGCTTTTCCAGTGACCTTTGCAGAGGCTTTCCCAGTGGCTTTTCTTGAGGCTTTTCCGGGAAGATTGCTTGTGACTATTGGGACCTGCTATCAAGGCAAAATAGTTTCCAGAGGTTTTTCCTGAGGTTTTTCCAGTGGATTTTCCAAAAAATATATTAAAAAAAGAAATGGACACTCCAGGTTCAGAAAAGAAATGCACACTCAAGAAACCATCAACAACACTACTATTCCAATACCCTTTGGAATGGTTCAAATCGAATCCGGGAAAGAAACCTCAGGTCCAAATATCTGCAGAAGGCCTTGATTCAGAGACAATCGGAACGGTAGTAAAGGCTGGAATCCAGATGGGAAAACTTGGAGTTAACACAGTTAAATTCTTTCTTTACACATATAGTCAATCATTGGCCACACAACTATCAGGCAACTGGGTCAGCTATGGAGTCACATTAGGATTAGATTCCAATAAAGTACACCCAATGGACCTGCTAGATGTAAAATTAATAACAGACAAAGCAGAGGGCCTCAATGAGATAAAAGTCCCATCAAATGAAGAATTTGACTGGATTGCATGTCTACTACTAGCCCCAAGCAGACTAAACGGCATCGTCCATTCTTCTTATTACAATGCGCTGAAAAACAAAATTCTTGTTCTTCTCACCGCAATGGGGAACCAATCAAAAATATTTCCACCTAGATCATTATTCTCATCCTGGTGTGCTGATCCCTCATATCTGAAAATTGTAGCGGCATTTGACATGTTTTTCATCAAGTTCCCGGCACATGAGAAAGCTAGAATGAGAATTAGTACATTGCAATCTCGCTACAAAGATTGTTCAGGATTGTTCTTAATAAAGAATTTTAAGGAGCTTGCAGGCATACCGAATATAAATTTATTTTTGGACTGGCTGTATATTGATGAGGCAGTGACAGAGGCTCATAAAATGTTGAGTCCTACAGAGGAGACAGCCCAAGTTGATTCCTACTTCCCGTACCAATTGGACCTTGGGTTGGTTACGAAAACCTACTACTCTGCAGCTGCCAATCCTCACATCTATTTTTTAATTCACGCAGCGGGAACACTGATGCATTCAAAAAGGTCCGAAAATGCCCGATTCCATGTAATTGAAAATATTGAGGAAATTTGTCTAAATGCAAAGATCATGGCCTATGCACTCAGCACGTGCTTTGTGATGACAAAACCATTTTTCATTGATACAGAACGAAACCGGGAATTAATGAAACAACTGATGTTGCCTGTAAAACGCTCCTCGAGTGGAGAGCCAACGGAACCCAATGGTACAGAATGGTATGCATATATGAAAAGTTTGGATTTTGAACTTACACCCAAAATGGTAGAATTTATAGCAAGAGAAAAAGCAAAGTTGACGAGAACAAGGAAGGGAACTATTGGCGAATATGTTAAAAACAACTTTTAATCTTTAGAATGAAATCATGATAGTAGTACCAATCCAATTGTCCAAATTGATGTATGGTAAATTAAGACATATCACTAATCTTTTTGAAATAAAAAAAATATGAGTTGAATTGAATTAAATTTATTGATCTAAAAATACAAACATTCACTTACATTCTTATAATTGGGGATTTTGTCTTTATATGTTCACCAGAATCAAATGAGCATTTGTTTGGCGGTACAAAAGTTTCCTATAGGTGCTTTCACGTAAATACGAATCGTTCAATTTTATATTCACCCTTAAGTATTATCTTTTTTCCATAAGTTATATAATAGTTCTTTTATTTTGGCATGATATCATGATAGCCTTAGTTATCCAATTTTTTCTACTTAGATTTTTATCATTATTATCGTTTGTATTCTTTATCACTGCACTATCTGCACATGTTTTTATAGTGGTTTCGATTAAACACATAATAATGTGAGAGCGCGAGAGAAAGGATTAACATTTGCTCTACGGGTACTGGGGGAACCCTCGCATTTTAGTTATTTACCTAGGACGTGTGTAGGCGTCAAGCGG